AGGTGCAGCAGCAGAGTCAGACAAGCCGGGTCAGGATCAAACAAACAAATCAAGTACAAGGGAGCAAGCAAGCGGATAGTCAAGGATAAGCCGGGGGTCGGTGCAGGCAGAGTTCTTTCTTAGTCAGGTCAGATCAGCTACAGGCAACAGAATCAGGTTATGGAGTGCAGGACGTTATAGTCCAGAAGGCATTGACTAAACTGTATTGCAGGTTTAAACAGCCCGCTTTGCGGTGACGTGTACGCTACTGCGCATGCGCACACTCATGCGTGCCCGCACGCCCCCGCACATGTGCACTCGCACCGCTGTGGCCTGAGGGGTTCCGGCGCCGCTGCACGGAGGGATCCCTGACAGTGCCCCCTCCTAAGGGCAGCCTCCGGATGCCCAACTGGGCCATCTTCTCTGGATGCCTGCGCTTGAATGCCACGATTAAATCTTTAGTGTGGATGTTAGACTCCGGTTCCCATGAATTGTCTTCAGGTTTATAACCTTTCCATTTAATTAAATATTGGAGTTGGTTCCTCCTTTTCCTACAGTCAACAATTGTTTCTACCTCATATTCCTCTTCACCATCGATGATCACTGGTTCAGGTGGCCCCAATTCCCGACCTGGAAAGGGGTTAGAGACTGCAGTCTTGAGCAACGATATGTGTGATACAGGATGGACTTTTAGCGATCCTGGTAATGTGAGCTCGTATGCTATATCGTTAATCCTCCTTTTTACTGGAAAAGGTCCCACGAATTTGGGGCCTAACTTCTTTGAGGGACGCGTTAACCTGAGAATAGCTGTTGACAACCACACCTCTTTGCCAGGTTCCAGGACCAGGTCCCCTTTTCTTTTTCTGTCAAAGAATTTCTTAATGTCTAACTGAGCCTTTGAGATTGTCTCCTGTAGCATCTTGTTCTTCTGTTGAAGGAATTCAAAGGTATCTTGCACTGTTGGGATTGCTGATTCAGGCGCTAGATTGGATATGACTGCAGGGTGAAATCCATAGTTAGAGAAGAAAGGAGACTGTTTTGTGGCCGAGTTTTGAATTATTATATGCGAATTCAGCCAAGGGTAAAAAAGTGATACCCAGTCATGTTGGGAAAAAGATGTGAAACAACGAATGTACTGCTCCAAGGTCTGGTTGGTTCTGTTTGTCCATTGGTCTGAGGGTGATAGGCGGAAAGAGTGAGTGTCCCACTTTCAACTTCTCGCAAACAGCTTTCCAGAACTTCGAGGTGAATTGCACCTCTCGATCCGAGACAATGTTCCTTGGGACACCATGCAGCCCCACCACCTCTCTTACAAAGATTTAGGCCGTTTCTGCTGCAGACAGTACTCCCTTCATGGCAATAAAGTGGGCCATTTTAAAAAAAACGATCCACTATAACAAAAATAGCCGAACGTCCTTCTGATGGTGGCAGTTCTACAACGAAGTCCATCGATATCATTCTCCACAGATGGTCAGGAACTGGTAGAGGCCTTAATAATCCCTAGGTCTTGCTTTTGTTACCCTTGTTCCATATACATGTGGGACAGGAAGCCTTGCAGTCCTTCTCCCACTCAGGCCACCAGAACAGGCGGTGCACTAGGTCTAAGGTCTAGTGGACCCCCGAAATGTTCTGCCAGCCGATGGTCATGACAAAGCCCTAAAATTGCCAGTTGGGTAGCTTCTGGTGCAAAGATTCTGTTCCCTGACCATAGTAACTCTTCTCTAGAGGACAGAGTTATTCCTGGAGGGAATGGAGCCCCAAAAGATGCCTGCTGGATCTGCGAAAAAAGGTCTGGTTGTAAAAGACAGAAGTTGCCTGTTGAGAGCACTGTATCAGGGGCAGGAAGATCCTTCGGGTCATCAAACATCCTAGACAGGGCATTGGGTTTGATATTCTTAGAGCCTGGTCTATAGGTAATGTGGAAGCTGAATTTGGAAAAGAAGAGTGCCCACCTGGCTTGTCGGGGTTTTAGACATTTTGCAGTCTTCAGGTACTCAGATGTTTGTGATCGGTGTAGATCAGAATGGGGTGTGCTGCTCCCTCTAAAAGGTACCTCCGTTCCTCCAAGGCTGATTTGATGGCAATTCTTGGTCCCCTAGATCGTAGTTTCTCTCCGCTGGGGATAGCTTTCAGGAAAAGAAAGCAACAGGATGAAGCAGGAGTTTCAAACCTTGCCGCTGCGATAGGCCGGCCCCAACAGCACTCTCCGAGGCATCTACTTCTACCACAAAGGGTAGTGCTGGATCCGGATGGCTTAATATGGGTGCTTAGGTAAAAAGTCCCTTTAATGCGTCAAAAGCATTTTGGGCCTCCAGTGTCCAACGGAATCGGATTCCTTGCTTGGTCAGTTGATTGATAGGAGTGATGATGGCTGAGAATCCCTTGATGAACCTCCTGTAAAAGTTGGCAAAGCCTATGAAGCGCTGTAATCCCTTTTTGGTACAGGCCATAACAAGATGCCGGAGACTTTCTGGGGATCCATCTTGAAGCCCTCAGTGGATATAATCAACCCTAAGAATTGAATGCTCACATTCAAACTCACACTTTTCTGGTTTTGTGTAAAGTCCTTGTAATCGGAGGCGACCACGGACCTTTTGCACATGACCCCTGTGAAGTTCGATGGATGCAGAAAAGATCAGGATGTTGTCAAGGTATACAATCACAAAGATGTCTAAGAAGTCCCTGAAAATGTCATTCACTAGGTGCTGGAAAGTTGCAGGGGCATTACACAGTCCGAAGGGCATAACTAAGTACTCGTAGTGCCCAAACCTGGTACGGAAAGCTGTTTTCCACTCATCTCCTTCTCTGATCCTTATGAAATTATATGCCCCTCTTAGATCCAGTTTTGTAAATATGGTGGCAGATCTGAGCCTCTGGAATAGTTCTGGGACTAGTGGCAGAGGATATCTGTTCTTCACCGTGATGTTATTTAATTTGCGGTAGTCCACACATGGACGGAGGGAGTGATCCTTTTTTTCCACGAAGAAGATCCCTGCACCTGCTGGTGAGGTGGAGGGGTGGATGAACCCCTTTTTGAGATTATCTTTGATATAGTCTTTTAATGCCTCCAACTCACGCTCTGACAGTGGAAAGATCCGACCGAAGGGAATCTCAGCTCCAGGTAGAAGTTCAATCGGCAGTCATAGGGCCTGTGAGGTGGAAGGCTGTCTGCACCAGGTTTACTGATAACATCCAGAAAGTTATGGTATGCTGCCGGAACCATTTGGCTTACTTCAGTATCATTTTCCAGGTATAACAGAGGCCCGGATTGAGCAGGACCTTGGGCAAGCAGTGCTCATGGCAGTAGGCCGATTGAAAGTCCACTTCATCAGATACCCAGTTTACATTGGGGTTGTGGGCCTGCAACCATGGGATCCCCAAGATGACTGGAAACAGTGGTGATGCAATAACATCCAGATATAGTAGTTCCTTGTGGCCAGATGGAGATATTACCACAGGAAGTGGGATCGTTTCCTGTGTGACTGCCGCAGACTTAATGTTAGATCCGTCGGCCAGATATACAGTCAGTCTCTGAGTCTAGGCTTTTAAGGGTATCTGGCGTTGCAGAGTGAAGGTTGCGTCGATAAAGCAACTGCAGGCCCCAGAATCAATAATAGCGGTGTCAGGGCTCCCAGGTATGACCAGAGATGTGTGACTGACGCAGGGAAACGCAGATTTCAGATATGGGATAAACAATGTAATTTATTAACACTAACAATACAAACATAAACGCAGTGCAATACTAAACATAATACAGTGCAAACAAACCCAACCAACCACCCACAGATAACAGTACATACAAGCAAGCGTCGTCAGGCAGGCCGGTCAATATCAATTGGGCAGGTAGGTACAGGGGGGCAAGCGGAGAATGGTCAGGGTCACAGGCCAGGTTCAGCAGGTAGCAAGCAGCGTAGTACAGAGGGTCAGGCAGAGGGATGGTCAGGGTCACAAGCCAGGGATCAGAACAGGTAGCAAGCAGCGTAGTACAGAGGGTCAGGCAGAGGGATGGTCAGGGTCACAAGCCAGGGATCAGGACAGGTAGCAAGCAGCGTAGTACAGAGGGTCAGCAAAGGAACAGAAACAGGATGCAGGACAGATACAGGGCCCAGGACAAACACACACCAAGGCAGAGTCTGTGGGTCTGGCCATCCCTTAAATACCCCAGCATAATCAGTTCCAGGTGTTAGCTGGCTGCAAAGTTGAGTCTCTGATTGCTGGGAGCACCCGCTGGCCAGCCCTGGTACTGCAGATCAAAAGGCAGGTGAGTCCCACCATTGCTGGCCAGTCCATTTCTGACAGTACCCCCCCCCTCAAGGAGCGGCCTCAGGACGCTCCAAACAGTCCTAGCTGGGAAAAATGTTCCACCGCCCGGGTCTGGTAACTGGCGGGATATCAAAGACTGGCACACCTGGCAGGACTCCGGGCAGCGGTACACCGTGCAGAGGCACATCGGGCTGGACACCGGGCAGAGGCACATCGGGCTGGACACCGGGCAGAAGGACTCCGGGCAGAGGCACACCGGGCTGGACTCCGGGCAGAGGCACACCGGGCTGGACTCCGGGCAGAGGCACACCGGGCTGGACTCCGGGCAGAGGCACATCGGGCTGGACTCCGGGCAGAGGCACATCGGGCTGGACTCCGGGCAGAGGCACATCGGGCTGGACTCCGGGCAGAGGCACATCGGCCTGGACTCCGGGCAGAGGCACATCGGCCTGGACTCCGGGCAGAGGCACATCGGGCTGGACTCCGGGCAGAGGCACATCGGGCTGGACTCCGGGCAGAGGCACATCGGGCTGGACTCCGGGCAGAGGCACATCGGGCTGGACTCCAGGCAGAGGCACATCGGGCTGGACTCCGGCAGAGGCACATCGGATTACCAGGCGAAGCAGCAGGCAGCGGGTCACCGGGCGGAGCAGAAGGCGCCGGGCCCCCAGGCGGGGCGACAGGCATCGAGCCCCCCAGGCGGGGCGACAGGCATCGGGCCCCCAGGCGGGGCGACAGGCATCGGCCCCCAGGGGGCGGCGGGCGCCAGACCCCAGGCGGAGCGACAGGTCTCGGCCCCCAGGCGGAGCGACAGGTCTCGGGCCCTCAGGCGGAGTGGCGGGCGCCGGACCCCCAGGTGGAGCGACAGGTCTCGGGCCCTCAGGCGGAGCGGCGGGCGCCTGACCCCCAGGTGGAGCGACAGGTCTCGGGCCCTCAGGCGAGAGCGGGCGCCGGACCCCCAGGTGGAGCGACAGGTCTCGGGCCCTCAGGCGGAGCGGCGGGCGCCGAGTCATCTGGCACGACAGTGGGCTCCGAGTCAACTGGCATGACCGCTGGCACTGGGTCAGACATTGGATCGTCTGGCTGGACAGCGGGCATCGGGTCACCAGGCATCAGGTCATTTGGCTCGACCGCGGGCACCACGTCATCTGGCAAGGCAGTAGGCTCCGAGTCAACTGGTATGACCGCGGGCACTGGGTCAGACATTGGATCGTCTGACTGGACAGCGGGCATCGGGTCACCAGGCATCAAGTCATTTGGCTCGACTGCGAGCACCGCGTCATCTGGCAAGGCAGTGGGCTCCGAGTCAACAGGCACGACAGTGGGCACCGGGTCATCAGGTACCGGATTGTCTGGCTCGACAGCGGGCATCGGGTCACCAGGTATGACAGCGGGCACTGGGTCGCCAGGCATCAGGTCATTTGGCTTGCCAGCGGGCACCGCGTCATCTGGCAAGGCAGTGGGCACCGGGTCACCAGGCATTGGATCGTCTGGCTCGACAGCGGGCATCGGGTCACCAGGTATGACAGCGGGCACTGGGTCACCAGGCATCAGGTCATTTGGCTCGCCAGCGGGCACCGCGTCATCTGGCAAGGCAGTGGGCACCAGGTCACCAGGTACGCCAGCGGGCTCTGAGTCAATTGGCACAACAGCGGGCACCGGATCAGGTACCGGATCATCTGGATCAACAGCGGGCATCGAGTCAACTGGCCTAATAGGATCGTCAGGCTGGATCATTCATCATGCTGGGTAGAGGCATCAGGCTGAATGCCGGCGTCCGGCCCGAGTAGAGGCTTCAGGCCGATAGAGGCTTCAGGCCGAGTAGAGGCTTCAGGCTGAACCACGGAAGGCAGGTTCTCAGACGGCAGGCTCACCGGTTTGGATACTGGCAGGATGGTATTGGTTGGAAAGAATTTTTGCTTTTTTCTGGTTTTAACTACTGGAACACTGCAAGTAAACGCAGGTCTGCAAACGAAAGGAGCAGCTGGAGACAGAGAAGAACTGGAGGATGGAACAGGAGAGGGAGCAGTTGCTACAGAGGGCTTTTTTACAGGGTTAAAGGCAGGATAGGTGCAGCGAGTGGGAACAGGGGACTGACATGCGGTAGATAGCCAAGTATACTGGGCTGTAACTAGAGGAGCTGTTGGGAATACAGGAGAAGAGTTAGAAGCAGGACTGGGTTTTTGTAAGCTGACTGAGGCTGGGTGCAACAAGTCTGTCCATGTCTGCAGTAGGGGTTGAACAAAGCTGAGCTTACACAAAGCCTGTCTGGTCAATGACTGCACTGCATTTATACAATCTCTTAGTACCTGTGGTGAACATGTGGAATAACGCTCCAGAAAGTAACCCACATCATCCTCTAATAACCACACCAGGGACTCTACCTGGTCTGCACTAAATGGTGGTAAAAATTCATCCCTGCATTCGGGGGTACCAGATGAAACCAACTCTGCACAAACCTCAATCAAAGGCTGCACCTCAGAGAATTCTGTGCCCTGATCTACTAGAACATGAGTGAGCCGTATACATTCTAGCAGTTCATCCCGGGGATACTCCCTCAGAGTTTGATAAGCATATTCCCTGTCATCAAACACTAGCAGATATAAATACACAACCTCATCCAGATCCATCCTTCCCAGCAACAAGCCAAGATGGCTTCCCTGTGCAGCCACTTCTGGTCAGGATTGGCCTTGGTGTAATGTCAGGGCTCCCAGGTATGACCAGAGATGTGTGACTGACGCAGGGAAACGCAGACTTCAGATATGGGATAAACAATGTAATTTATTAACACTAACAATACAAACATAAACGCAGTGCAATACTAAACATAATACAGTGCAAACAAACCCAACCAACCACCCACAGATAACAGTACATACAAGCAAGCGTCGTCAGGCAGGCCGGGTCAATATCAATTGGGCAGGTAGGTACAGGGGGAGCAAGCGGAGAATGGTCAGGTCACAGGCCAGGTTCAGCAGGTAGCAAGCAGCGTAGTACAGAGGGTCAGGCAGAGGGATGGTCAGGTCACAAGCCAGGGATCAGGACAGGTAGCAAGCAGCGTAGTACAGAGGGTCAGCAAAGGAACAGAAACGGGATGCAGGACAGATACAGGGCCCAGGACAAACACACACCAAGGCAGAGTCTGTGGGTCTGGCCATCCCTTAAATACCCCAGCATAATCAGTTCCAGGTGTTAGCTGGCTGCAAAGTTGAGTCTCTGATTGCTGGGAGCACCCGCTGGCCAGCCCTGGTACTGCAGATCAAAAGGCAGGTGAGTCCCACCATTGCTGGCCAGTCCATTCCTGACAAGCGGGTACTGGCAGGGTTCTTCCTGAAAGCTGGAATAAGATGGAAATGATAAGATGAGCAGGGTTGATAGTTGGTAGTTTAGCAGGCAGGGTGGTCAGAGACTGATGTAGTGTTGCAGAGCAGTTCCGTACATAATGGCCCAGTTCTCCACAATAGAGACATAGGTTGTCCTGTCGGTGGCGTTGACGTTCCTCCGGGGTGAGGTTCGTAGCAACCCTTTGGAGGTGGTACCCTGGGGCGACCTTGCCTTGCAGATTTTTCCAACCTTCGTTCCCTAAGTCGGCGGTCAATCTGGATAGCCAGGTTAATGAGCTCTTCCAACGTGTTAGGTACCCCAAATCGAGCTAGCTCATCTTTAAGGGGTTCGGCTAGGCCTAAGCGGAACTGGTATCGTAGGGCAGTGTCGTTCCAATTGGTATCGCGCTCCAATGCCGGAATTCTGTTACATAGTCCTCAGCTGCCCTGCGACCCAGCTGAAGAGAGTGTAGTGCGGCTTCTGCCAACGCAGATTGCTGGGGATCGTCATAGAGCTGCGTCATAGCCTCAAAGAAACGGTTTAAGGAAGTCAGCTTGGCATCTTCCTTCTCCAGCAAATGGTGGGCCCCCATGCTTGTGGTTCGCCCTGCAGGAGTGAGATCACAAACCCCACCTTAGTTGCCTCTAAAGAAAAGGTGCGGTGTTGCAACGCAAAATAGCATTCACAGGCGTTGCGGAAGGCCCTGAATTTGTGGCCTGGGCCCAATAAAGCAAGAAGGGGGTAATCTAACAGATTCCCATATCTGGAGCCTTACACTTATTTGGGGAAAGAAAGAAAGAAAGAAAGAAAGAAAGAAAGAAAGAAAGAGAAAGAATCAAAAATGGAGAAAGCTTGTTACAGGACTCACAATCAACCAGTGACATTTCAGTTAGTCAGTCTTCCCTGGCTTCTGGATCTGAGTGAGCTGAAGATCGTGGACGGCTGGAACGGGAGTGTTGCTGCCTCTGGGGTCTTGAACGAGACCAGTGATTGGCTTCCTGCAGTTCCGGTAAGTCTAGCCAGTCAGGAACCACTACGGTTTCACAATCCAGGAAATGGAACAGTTGCTGAAGTTGGACTGGACTTTGGAGGTGAAAGTCACGGTTGTCCTTCTTGACCGTGAGGGAAAAGGGAAAACCCCATCAGCACGTTGCTCCCTGGACTCGCAGACGGTTGAGCAGTGGCCTCATCAGGCCATCATTTTGGGAAAAGGTTTGAAAACAATTGTACTGTGGCACCATCAAAATCCAGAGAGCCTCGTTGTCAGGCAGCCCGTAGGATATCCTCTTTAACAGTATAGAAATGTACCCTGCTGAGCAATTCCCTCGGTTCAGGTTGTGAAGGATTCATAGTGGCAGGGACTCTGTGTACACAGTCCAACTCAATAGGTGTGTCTGATGGTTTCCCAGCAGTTGATTGAAAATGCCAATGCAGCTCAGCTCCTATAGTGGCCTTTGGGATGCCCTGGAGCCTTATATTGTCTCTTCTACGCCTGTTCTCTGCGTCCTCCTGCTGAAGCTGCATGAAGATCAAGCACTGATGCTGGTGGTTTTAGCAGTTCTTTAATGGCAGACATGCGGGATGCAGAGTCCTCCTGCTGGGTTTCCAAGGCTATCAGCTGGTAATCTGTGGAGGCTTTAGAGCGGAGTTCATCAATCTCTCCCCGAAAAGCCCCAGTAAACTGCTGAGCATATCCTGGATGTGTCCCTTGGTAGGGAGAGCCTGGATAAGCTGACGGAGGTCCTGTTCTTCTGGGGGGCCTACTTGAGAGGGCTGCTGGATCTGGAGAAGGCATCTGGCAAGTCTGGCTGCGGCAGTACTGGTGTAGGGATGGGAGAGTCTGGGCTGTCAGCAGCATTTGCAGGAGTCGGATCCACCAAAGCCCTGAGAGGCTGAGCAGAGTTGGGTGGCAGCTGGCGGGAAGATGCCATTCTGGGGCTCCTGACGAACACAGATCTCCCTGTACTGAGAGGTAGTGGGTGATATATGGGTGGTGAGGGGTACCAGGTGTTCCTGTGAGTTTCCCCAATTTCAGCATGGGTGAATGGAGCTTGAAGGGCAGGTGAGCTACTGAAAGATCCACCACTGCAGCACAGAGCTCAGAACTGGAGCTTCCTCACCCCACCATGGTTGAGCCACTTCTTTTCTATTCTAATCTATTCTATTCAAATTTAATCTATTTGAAATTTGCATTTCGTAACATGTTATATTCTTTTTATTCTATTTCATTATTTTCTATTCTATTTTATTATATTCTTTTATTTTCCATTCTATTTTGTTTTACTAGATTCTTTTCTATCCTATTCTAATCTGTTTTATGCTATTCCTTTCTATTCTATAATTTTTTATTCTATTCTTTTATTTTCCATTCTATTTTACTCTATTCTTTTCTATTCCTTTGTTTTCTATTCTATTTTATTCTATTCTTGCTTTCAAATCCATATTCGTTTTCGATTAAAAATTCCGTTTACCCTTATTGTAATTCGGATACATTGGAATCTCCAAATAACAAATAATTCATCCGAATTTCGATTTGGTAAGAAACGAACATCACATGTCTAGTATAAAAATATATAATCCCCCTGCGCTCCACTGGTATGAACAAACACAACCCCAAATATATGCAAGCTGCTACCACCTATTCCCAATACCACAGGATATATGACATAAAAAAACAATATTTGTCAGTGCTTCAATTCTTCACTCCAAACATGATGCGTGTTAGCATGCCACACGTGTATATCGTAATCCAAAAATGGTTAAAGTGCCTCCTCACCTTAACCATGCAACCCCTAAGGGCCACAATGCTTTAGGTAATATAGCTCCACCAGACTGGGGATCTCTGTAATCCTGCAGTACCACTCGATCTCCTCTGCCAGGTCACTTATGCCCTCAGATGGTAATACCCCCGGGATAATCACAATGCCATAGAGAGGTAGACAAAGAGAGCCTCCATAGTGAAATGCCGTTTATTCCATATAGCAG